TAAGGTCAAGGTTTATGGCGTCTCGTTGCTCGCCGCAATTTCAATTTTCCTTACGAGGCATTTCGCCCCACGAGCTTTTACATTGAATCCGGTGGCTGTTTGAAACACGGAGGATAAGGAAAACTATTCCCTCGCGGGGAATAGTTAATTATTTCGTGTCGCGTGCGGGAGGGACAGAGGGGAATCTGGGGAGGAGGATTTATTAAGGGTGAACCAGGCGCGCCTTTGACTCGCTACTTGTGAACTCGTTTCTATACTTAGAAGATGGGGCCGAAAACGAAAGCGGGATGAACTGACAATCGGTCGGGCTCGTGATAAACTCGTAATAATCGACGATGAAATCATGGGATCGAATCGTCGATTATTGTAAGAAAAGAAAAAAAAAAAAAAAGAAAAAGAAATTCGAAGGAAAAGATTTTATTATATCTGGAATAAGTGAATTATTCTCGATTCAGAAGTGAAAAATTATAAAAGTATTAATAAATGATGGCGGAAAAAAGGGGCCGAAGAACGGTAAGATAAATTAAACTGATTGGTGAACTTACGTTGACGAAGAAGGATTTGTTTGTCGTTGGACAAGTAAATTGTAACAATCCTTGCGTTTGATGTAGAAATGATGCTGTAATTAAAATAATGTAAAAGTGTAAATGAGAAAACTATTTATATCGATTTGACAATGACTTCGAGAGGAAACTCGTCTTCATTCAGCGAAGAGGATAATAAAATTACCACTCACGACGTGAGAAGGGAAGACAGAGAGAAAGAAAAGGAGAACGAGCAGTTTATTTAAAGCAACGAATTTCCAAGAGGGGCCATACTCGATCCAGGGGATGCTCTTGCGATAAAGGATCGACCGATACATGGAGTGATGTAGTAGAGGTAGCGCGACACGCTGATGATACACGGTTAGACGGTTAGTTTAACGACTTGAAACAGAAATATCTAGTGAAAGAGAGAAAGAGAGAGAGAGAGAGAGAGAGAGAGAGAGAGAGAGAGAGAGAGAGAGAGAG